ACCAATATAATTAACTTGAAACTTAGTTGCTTGTGAGATATTGTTGGCCTTACGGCATAACCCTCATGTCAGCCCGGCTCAGTTGGTAGCATTCTCACCTCTCAGTCAGAAAGCTGTAGATTCAAGTCCTGAGATTGGGACTTGGGGTTGAATATCTAGGCTGACATTCTAGTGCAGTGTTGGTGAAATTGTCATCTTTTGAATAAAATATTAAACCAAAGTCTCATCTGCTTGTATAGGAGATGTTAAATTTCCATGGCATAAATGGCATTATTCAAAAAAGAGGTAAATTCTTCTGGTTTCTTGGCCTAAAGTTAAATTGATCATTGACCTCCTGGCTATTTGTAGACATTGCTGTGTGCAAATTGGCTACCATGTTCACCTACAAATACACAGTTACTACACTTTACTGAAAACTTTGTGAAGAATTTTGAGACATTTCAAGGTAATAAGGAGCTATATCAAATGCAAGAATTATTACACGTATGCAACCATTGTGTTATCCCCTAACCACCTATGAGAAGAAAGATTCTTTGGGGATCAGTTGGGTGTCTGACACATGCGGAAACCCATCATCCAGAGTGCCAAACCAAGCCTGGAATTCCATGAATCCCGGCTACACACGGAAACTCTAGAACTAGATTGTTGAAATGGAATGCACATTCTCTCCCTGGAGGGACGCATCCGGCTTACCTAACTCCGGAAAGTATTCGGTGCAGTTTAGCAAGAGCTTTGTGTGCATTGGAGTCCAACCTACTAAAACCGCATAGCTTGCCCATTGAGACCACTCTCTGGCAAGCTGTCCACTGCTTGTCCAGCTAAGACCACCCTACTTGTTAGGGCTCTGTCTTGCAGGGTTAACAGGAGCTGAGTGGGATGATTCCCAGCCCCCAGTGACTGGTCTCCCCTTCCAAGTCCTGCCGGTGATGCTGTGTCCAAGATGGGGATAGGGCAGGAAATTAGAGCTAGGTCAGAAGATCAGCCATGATCTTATTGAATGGCGGGGCAGGCTCGAGGGGCCAAATGGCCTACTCCTGCTCCTAATTCATATTTTTATGTTCTTGTGCTACCCTGCATGGTTGCAAGTTGGTATCTGTTTGTGCTGGTCTAAAATGGCGGTCAGGTTTGTCTACACAATCAGTTACTAGACTTGGCACTAGTTATGTGTGAAACACTTTGATGAGGATTGATAAAAATGCAAGTTCTTTCTAGTCTAGGATATAATTTGTCATCACAAAGTTACAGGTCTAGAAATAATACAACACCACCACCTGGTGGACATATAACAGCACATCTTTTGGTAGAATGAAATCGTGATAGTTTGGTTTGAAATGCCTCACTTACAACTTGCATTTGCTTGCTCTTCATATTGGATATGTCAGAATAATATAATTGTAAGATAATATCTTCACAACAATGAAGTCAGACCCAAATAAGGGAGAAGGGAAGGGAGACAATAACCATAGGAATGGCCAAAGAGGAAAGTTTTTAGCTGGGATTTAGAGACAGGTAGAGAGAAGGGAACTAGATAACAACAACAAAATTACATTTCTATAGCACCTTTCATGTCGGGAGGATGTCCCAAAGTGCTGGACAATCAATGTTTCGGACAACAACAACTTACATTCATATAGCGCCCTTCACACGAGTTAGGGTCCCGGAGTACGAGAGGGTGAGTATGGAGTTGTGGAAGGCTGATGGTGGGGTGGAGGAGCCAGGGAATGCACAGCAAGCTTGAATTCAGCTGAGTATCTAACACAAGCAGAAACTTATCACCCTGAGGTGAATAGATATTTGTTAGGTCAGGGTATTAAGGGATACAGGGCAAGGGCGGTAATTGGATTTGAGGCACAGATTAGCCATATCTTATAGAATGGCAGAACAGGCTCGAGAGACTGAATGGCCCTGTCTCTACATTTCTGATTAAGAGTGTCTAAACCACACAGAGATCTATATATGTAACCAATTGTATGATACCCATCACCACGCTTAAAAGTACATTTAGTCACAGGAACTTGTCAACCTTAGGCCAACTAACGTGTGAAATATGCCGTCAGCTTGATTTTAGAATCTGACTTAAAAGTGGAAAGTGGTTGCATATTTAAACTGTTATGATTATGAGATTGACAATGTACTTTGATGAACCTGACCTGATTACTTTAGCTTTCATCAAACTGTCAGTGACATTGAACACATTGTATTTCAATAATAATCCTTGCATTTGATATAGCACCATATTATGTCTTTGAGACGTCTCAAAGTGCTTCACAGAATATGCTGTAAAGTGAATTCACTGTATATTTTGTGGGCAAAACACAGCAGCCAATTGCGCACAGCAGTGACCCACAAACATGGATTGAGTGACCATTTTTTTAAAGGGATTATTACCCCTGAAAAAGCAATTTGCCAATCGACTAACAACCAGGTTCCTACTTACTACGAGGTAAACAGAGGCATGTGGAGTAAGGAAACTTGCCCAACATTTCACCCTGCCCGGGATTTAGTAATATAATCCAGCATCCTGTTTTCCTTGTTATCGTTGCCACAAACTATTTTGACATGGTGAGCAATGAGTCAACTAACTCAGATCTCTCAGCTTTTCCCTTGGTAAGTTCTCTCCCATCCACGGAGCACACGTTTGCTCTTCTAGTCATAATGTGGTGTCTGTCAGCTTGAATGCAGAATGGCACAAGGCCATCTTGCTGAGTGCTCAAAGGTGTTAGAATATTATAATACTGGTCTCAAACCTCAGATGCAGTCGTGCATTGTTCAACTAATGGCCAGAGGAGGGCAGCTTCATACAGTAGTGATTTTTTTTCACAAAAGCCATCTTCTATCCAAAACAGCCACTGATTAAGGGGAGAATTTCACATTATTTGGCAACAACAAAGACGCAAAATATCAAATTGCACATAGAAGTGTCCCACAAACAGTCGAGGATTGAGTGACCATTTTTTTTTGGTATTATTACCCCCGGAAAACAAATCTGCCAATCAACTAAGCACCAGGTTCGTACTTACTACTAGGTAAACGGAAGAGTGTGGAATAAGGAAACTTGCCTAATGTTTTGCCACACATTTTTTTTTGTTTCTTGGCTAAGCAAGGATTCATTAAAGGAGATTGTGTGAAGCACAGGGAATAGAGCAACTCGGTGTCATTGTGTAAAGATAACTGGAGGCAATGTGGTAAGTAACTAATCCCCAAAATTTACCTCAGTTAGAATGAAAAGAAATGAGCACAGGATGGCAACAGGGAGCAAAGCACAAGTCGAGAGATAACCATGCAAACAAATTTAAAGATATTTCTCTTTTAGAGTTAAAAATGAAGACATTTCAGAATAAAGGAGAAAATGTTTAAATGGGAATTACAAGTAAAGGCAGCATTCTAATTATAAATTAATTCCTCAATATCCATTACCAATGCTATTAGTTTTAAAACATGTTTAAAGGGGAAAGTAAGTCTGAGGAATGGGAGGAAAATGTTTCCCACTTTAAGGAAGCAGGTTTTTCTTCAGAAAAGCCAGGCTTTTCTTCAGATCAACCTGGGGCCAATCTAAATCTAACCCTGTCGGAAAAAGACAAGTTTACAGCCAACCTCAGTTGAGCTCTACTGTATCTAGCTGATAGGTGATGCTGGATTGGCCCAAGGTCATTTGGAATCACTGCCTACTGTTAATATTAATTAGACCACGCCAGGTTAAAATAACCCTTGTATTTAATCTTGCCTCTGTCTTGTCAGGAGGAAGTCTTGAAGCCCTTCACAGGATTTACTGTAAAGGGTAGCGACTGTATTTTGTTGGTAAACGCAGCAGACGATTTGTACACAATACGTCCCAAAGCCAGCCATGAAGTGAATGAGCAATTTTATCCAGGAGTTGCTGGTCACTACACCTGGAGTAACCCACTTCTCTTTAAATAGTGCCATGGGACCTTCAAAGTCTACCTGATCAGACAGACAGGTCCTCGGTTTATTATCTCAACCAAAGGACAGCAATGCTCCACTAGGACGACAATGAAATATCTGCCTAGACTGTGAGTTTGAAGTGCCAAAGTCAGACTGGACAGGATGCATACAGGCCAGCCCCACAACCCTCTGTAAGAGCAGACACAAAACATTCTAATGAAAGTTAAAATCAGTTATTCAGTACCAGCGAGTTTTTTCCCTTTAATAAACCAAAGTTGGGGAGCTGCTTTGTACAGAAAGTACTGGAATTCTTACACACACCCTTGTACTTTCCCTTTTCTTTAGAGAATTAATCAAACACACCAACAAGGAGCAATGAGGTAATCACATGTAGCAATCATTGCAGTGCCAGACTATAGGTGGAAAGTTCAACATGACACGTTTTCCTGCTTAAGTATCATCTTTAAATGACTAGCAACAGCAGAGTAACATTTACTGGAGTCATTGAATGATAGAAAATAATGAGATCAAAGTGCATGATATAGGATATACTGCACATAAATGCAGAGCACCCCAGGGTGTGTTTATTTTATTAAGAATGTCAGGGTTAAAATACTTATCTTGCTTTGATTCCATGTTCCAATGCAATGAGTAACTGGATTGAGCCATTCAAGTTAAATGGCAATGCATATTATATGATGAAAAGAATATTTTAATTATGTATATACATATTTTAATTATGTAAATACTGGTGTTAATTATAGTAATCCTGGTGATTACATTCATAAAAGGATTTTAATGTAGTTACAAGCATCAAAATGCTTAGATGTAACTAGAGTCTGAGACACTACCTTGTGTGGAGGGCGCTATCTAAGTTGTTGTCGAGCCCACAATGCAACTCCAAACAAGGGAGTTTCTTCCACTCTCCTGGCCAACAATTCTCCAGAAGAGGAACATGCATGAAAAGATCACCAACATTATAGAGAAGATTTAACTGGCAAATATAAAATGCGACAGTAAATGTATGCCCAAACTTACTTTAATTCAATGGGGAAGGAGAAATTAAGTACACAGAGCGAATAAAATCAAACAAAGAATTTTAAAGATATTATTTATTCATCATGCACATGAGAACTACATTTAAATCACAAATCAGGTTATTGCATTACAAGAAATGCCTATGAATTAGACAAGATATCTGGTTGTCTAATTACATAAAGTAATTCTATTTGCATTCTACTGTATTAGAAACTTTCTACTATATTAGAAACTTGACGGTTCACACCCTTGAATTCCATTTTATCCCCCGGTAATTGCACTCACACTCATTAATAAAAACTCAGGTTACAGCAGAGAAATGATTGTAAAAACAGCTGTGTTGGAGTCAGGAGCACAAGGACAAAGATGCACGCTGGCTTTACAGACAGATGCTCTTTTCTCAATCTTGGATCTTTCTTGAAATGCATTTCCCCCATTTCTGAATAATTGCTCTGGGATTAGTAACTGCTTCTCCAGATATCAGGGAGAAACAAAATGGGAAAAACATGACAGATTCAAGCACACAATGGGGGGAGGAAGTGAGAAAAAGATGGCAAACAAAGAGGAAGTATAGAACAAGGTGTGCGCGCACACATATTCGAGTTTCAAAATTCGTGTTCTGAATACCATACAATTTTAATGTCAGAACACTATTGTTTGACTTAACACTAAAAGTTGCATTTTGCAATGAGAATTAAGGTTCCGATGAAAAAAAGTGTAAATGTTCAGTTCTTAGGTAGTATTGTGACAAAAAAAATCTATTCAGTTTGACCAGAATTACATTTAGTAAAATGTAAATACTTATTTACTTAAATACTAATTTACATTGACAATTTGTCCCTTTTTAATATAATATTTTGTTATGTTATAGGAATACCAGAATATCCAAACAAATGAAAACATTTAACATTTATTGGAGGAAAATAAAACCACCTAAAAACTCAAGCACAAGTTATTAAGGATCCCAGTTGTTAAAAAATATTTAATGACAGAAGCAAGTCAAATATCCATTTTCAAAACTTCACTTGGAACTTAAAAGCCAACCACTGCCATGTAAAGTGTACTGACAAATATATAGGCTGCAATACATGATTGTTGTGAGAGTTTTAAACTATTTGCTTGATGAAAAGTTGCCAGCTATACACAAAAACAACCTCTGTGCAATGAACCATTGATGCGTGAATTGGCAATTGTATTCCTCAAAAATTAAAATATGAATTAGTGTGTTAATAGGTCTTTTCTTGAACTATGAAAATAAATTTCTGAGTTTAGTTGAAGCTTTTCATAAACAAATTAGTGTTTTCAGTTTGCAAAAGTAAATAAGCAATGACAAAATATGACACGTTTACTTTTAACATACAAAAGATTACAAAATAGTTTGTGAAGTTGAATACAAAACTACAACTAGCGAACAGAGTTTTAAACACTTATATCTTGAAACAGAAATGTTTCACTCATTTCCATTAAGCAAAATAGCACAAAGTGGAGAAAGCAAACACAGAATTGGTTTCAAGTAAGAAAACCACCTCAACATAGCAAAAAAACAAGCCATTGAATAAACTCATTGCCATACTCTTCAGTACTATTACACTTAACCATCTACAACTAAATCCACCAAAATTATTAAGGCTGGTTTAATTTATTTTGCAGTTCACTAATTTGCAATGCAATCAGTTTTGTTCAGTTTCATTGGAGATGGGATTTACCAATGGGATATGACTTTTCCACTTCTAGGATCCCACAACTTAAATTCATACTTTAAAGTGCAAAATAGCCAAATGTTTTTGAATATTGAATTATATAGGGTGTTACCCACACAAACAGAATTCAGTGACCAGTTCCTGCAGTCCACCTCTAATCAGAGTATCGAAACAAGGTTAATTTTCAGAACAAAAACATTTTAACACATTTAGTAGAAATCACAATTTCCCATCCCTTAGTTGCACTCAATGACTGTTGAATAAATTAGTTACATAAAGCTAGATAAGAGTCCAGCTACTATAATATTGCACATTTTTCTACTTTTAGCAAATGTTAACTGAATAGTGGAATGCAGGGCATGTTTTTAAACCTGTTTTCTGATGCTTAAACAATCATATCAACTCCAATGCTGTACTGCATTAATATTACTTTAGCACAAAAAACAATTTCCAGCATATACAGGTAGAACCAACAGGCTTGGATAAATTGCAACGTTTTTGACAAACTGAGCTCAGGGACCACAGTGTGAACATTTGGATTGTAATTATTTTAATTTTCATCAGTTAGTTCAGGGTGTCAAATAAGAATTTGTGGCAAATTGCTACAAATAGTTAGTTAGGGACCTGTAATTCAGACAACAGAATATCTAGACAATATTATGCAGATTACTATTGCATGGAATCCATGCATTAAGACATTACCACACTCTTAAAAGCGCCCAAAAATGTACAAGGATGTCTCAACCTTAAAATTGAAAGCTAATTCTTCAGTCAGACTTAAAATGTAACCTCTGGTTAACAATTGGTGATCCCATGCTTCATGTGCATTGAACTAATACACCCCAATAGCTGTTCAATTTTACGGTTCCATTAATACTTAAGAGTTCTAGTCAAAACATCTATTATGCCAAATAGATTTTTTTCAGCAGGTGAAGGATTAATACAAAAAAGCCCAGCTCACCCAATAAGAATCTGATCTGTTGTCCACTTGAAATCTACCTGTTCAGGTTAACTTTCATCAGAACATGGGGTAAAGTAACCATTGGTTGACTACTACCTTGAAATCATCCCGGGACATTGAATGTCTGTACAATTACAGTAGTGGTTATTCCAATACATTTTTACATGTACCATTTGTCATTTCTTGCAAGACCTTCATATCAATGGTTTGTCAGTTACTAACTGCTCTAGTGCTCAGCATTGACAGGAGAGTGATGCAGCTGTCCAAGGTTTAGAAATTCTGATCTTCCAAAATGGTAGGTTGTGTTTCCTCCACAATCCACATACTGGTATCTTTCAAGGGAAACTTGCTCTGTATGTCCAAAGTAAGTTGATGTTACAGTTGCTCTGAAAAGGAAAAGTAATAATTGGTGCACAAAAAAGTTATTGTTCAAAGATAAAAATGAGTTCTGCACTAATTTTAGTTTTCATAAATTTAAGATTGTAAGGACAATTAAAGCAATCCATTAGATTTGCAGACCTCATGTTGTACTCAGCTGGCAAGTATCAGTTCAAGACTTTATAATTGAATGAGATAGTAAGGCCAAGTACCATCATGAATTCAATCAATGATTGAAACAATAACATTCTAAATGACTGACCGCTGTACTTCAAATACACTACAAATATACAGCATACCAGATACAGAGCTGTGAAGTGAACGAGCAATAATTCATGAGTTTCTGAATATTTAACAATCATACAGCCTATGACTTTTATATCTAGCTAGTAAATTGCTCAATATTGCACTTATAACCTCACATACTTACTGCATCATAATCACAATGTTATGCACTTTGATAGATGTCAATGTACAGAAGTCACTGTAATAATGAAAAAAAATCAAAAGTTTAGGACTTGATGAACCAAAACTTTGTTAATATCTTTGCAAAACATTAATTAAGTCAATTGGTCATAAACACATTACATTCAAAACCGATGCATGGACAGTTCTTCTTCAGAGATCCAATTAAACGACATTGCCTTCAAATTAGTGGGCCAACATAAAACCTAAATTAGCTTAGATTTCCAACTTGTGTTTGAATCCGAGACCATGTCATTTAAACTCACTCACTTTATCAGAGCAAGTTCCATTAGTTTTATAGTGTGAAGTCTTATAGCTTAAGATATTTGCACTGGAATGATGTGCTAAGTGTTAACTGATTTGAAGGGAGTAATGCAGTACATTATGCGTTAAGAGAGAGTGTAAAGGCAATTTCCATTTGGCAGTATTGTGAGTACGGACTTTAAATTATTTATTTTACCCAAATGTACTTTACTATACAAGAAACACCAATGTATCTACAGTCCACCAAGTTAATTCAGTATGCTGCAGAAATATTGCAAATCCATAGGACACATAGGTACAGAAAACTGACTGACTGCAGAGACCAGTGGGGTCTCCAGCAACTGCCATTGCCTGAGAGGAGAGGCTGACTAGCCAATTTTCTACACACAGTGCAACTGGACTTGCTGACTTATGGGGGACTAAACACTGGGAATGCTGACACCAGCCACAACACAGGGTTTCATTTTGTCCACCAAACTGTCAGGCCAGACTATCCAAGTAATATGCAACTAATCACTCAACCAGTTCTGTACACTGCAAGCCTTGAAGTATTAAAAGCTACTTACTTTATTAGTTAGCTTTAGATAAACATAATGGTGGATATAAGACTTGAGGAACTTTGTGTGCCTCATACAAGATATTTTCTTTCACGATTGCAGAATGTACATCTAATTGCAGAAATATCCTGTTCAAATTCACTGTCAAGATGGGAAAATGCACAAAAAGATTTTAAAGAACATGAAATGCTACTCACTACATGTAGTTCATTTGATCCCCAATGACTGTATGAACAGAGTAGTCAATCTGCAGAGAAGACATTTTAATCAGGAGATCACAAAGCAATTGCAAAAAAATGTAACAGAATTCTAAATCAGGAAAAACTGTTTAAGTTTGTGATTAATCACCTTTGCAATTTGTCTCAACAATAAGCTTAAATGAACGGTTTCTAGTACCTGTTTCAGAGAATTATATTGGATGCTTCAACAACAAAATTACATTTATAGAGCGCCTTTCACGTCGGGAGGACTTCCCAAGGTGCTGAAGCACTGTCCAAGAGCAGAACCACTATCCTTTAACCTCTGTATTGCCTAGATGGCCCACCACCAAATGAAACAATTCCTGAACAGACACTCACATTCCTTATTTAAAGAAAATCATTTGTGCATTACTGATGTGGCCCCGTATTCTGGAAATGTTATTGGGACCCTCACTTCAAGGATGCATTTGGAAGCCATTCAAGAAGTACACTGACGGTTCAGAATGGGGATAGAATGACATTTTGATAGAGTTTCAATAAGGAAGGAAAATCATTCAGTCCATTGTGCTCATGCTGCACTAACCTACTCATTAATGCTGCACTAACCTACTCATTAATACCTACTCAAACTGCTCATTAATTAATTTTCCCCTTTCCTAATAATATCCTCTGATTTTTAAGCAATTTATGTTCTGCCAATATTTATAGTAACAATTTTAACAAAATCTACACTAGCTTTTGTTCAACGATGATTTGAATCTCTGCTGACATGAAAGATCCTTCAAACTGAGTTTCCAATCATCCAGAGGTATATTCCTAAAAATCAAAATTACCTGTTTCATATCTAGCGGTCTAATATTTGTGATGTTGCTGAGGCGAGTCTTTCCAATAACAGTTTTTGAAAACTGTACTTGAGCACTGATATTTGCCACATCAACAGAGTAGAAGTTGTTGTTTGTAATGTTTAAAGTGCTCTGCAAAAGACAGTAGTGGGAATAATAAAATACATTAAAATACAACATTTCCAGAAAAGCTTGCAATTGTTGCAACAGAATTCTGCACTGTTAACAAAACACTTGAATTAGATAAGACATCTTTTCAAAATGTTAACCATTTTGTAATGCAGTTTGCCAAACACAAAAAAATAAAACTTCCAAAGTTTACAAGACAGCACCCTCTGCATGATTTGACATAGCACAAAAAGTAATAGAACTTAAACGTAAATGTCAACAGCCACTACGTCCTATAAGCAGGGTCTTCTTGGAGCTGAACTGGCACCAAGGCAACATGCCTGGCAAAGGAATGTCAGAATTGAGCCAGCCCTCTGTGGCAGTCTCAGCAGTGTGGTTCCTGAGCCAGGTGGGTCCGCAATATTCCAGGGCTTTGCTGAAGACAGCACTGCCACCCTGGTTCATCGGCAGGACCTGGAAGGAAGGGCAGACCAGTCACTGGGGGCAGGAAGTCATCCCACTCAGCTCCTGTTGACCCTGCAAGCCAAAGCCATAAAGGGTAGGGTGATCCTAGCTGGACAAGCAGCAGGAAAGCTTGCCAGACAGCAGTCAATGGCAATCAATGCGGTTTTAGCTGGTTTGACTCCAGCAGTACCCCAACGCGCACTCTGGGGTCCCCAAGCCTTGGCTTCAGCCAATCTGCACCTAATACTTTCCAGAATTAGGTAAGCAGGAGGTATATCCCTCCAGGGAGAGAGAGTATGCATTCCATTCCAATAATTTATCTCTGGAATTTCCACGTGTAGGTGGGATGCATGAAAATCTCATCTTGGTTAAGCACGGTGATGGGTTTCTGCTGGCGTCAGATATCCGGCTGACCAAAAAAAAGCCCTGAAGGTTTGAAACTCTCTCCCTCAATTCCTCTGCCTTGCCTCCTCCTCCTTCCCCTCTTTTAGATCACGATTGAAGATCTTCCACTTTGATTGGTCATCACCACCCCCCACTGCTCCAAGTAGTAAGCCCTCAAGGGGTCCTGTGGTTAAAGCACTCGCCTCGCAAGTGAGAGACCTGGGTTTGATTCCCAGGCAGTGCGAAATGTTGGGCAAGTTTCCTTACTCCACACAACTCTGTTTACCTAGCATTAAGTAGGAACACTGAAATAGTAGTTTTCTTCAGACTTGAAACAGTCATGAATGGAAGCCACATCAGCAGGGACTACTGCTCATGACTTGCTAATTCAACCCAAGAGCCTGAAGCCCGAGGATAGTGAAGCAAGCAGGAAACAGGGATTGTCCCCTCAGTTTGTTTATCATAAATGAATTTTTATTAATTAATAATTATTAATCTGTTGTGTTATGTTACACAAACAATCAACGTGTACGAAAGTTTTTAAACAAAGATTTGAACCACCCACCATTGTTAGGCTACATTATTTACAAAACCACTTATTCGACAATTTGCAGAGCTTACCGTGATATTGAGATAAACCACCCGATTAATCTGGTCATAACTGACATAAACTGACTTTACACCAACGTAGCTCACATCAATGGAACGTGGGAACAGAAAGAATACAGCCAGTCCACAAAGCAGCAAACAAAGAATGACCGATGAAGTCACATATAGTTTCCTAGAAAAAGAAATTGAGAACACGGTTAACCCTGTAAAATATTTGAAGTCATATTAAACAAAGCTATCAGGCTACCACATACTAATCTCTAGTAAAGGTATTTATAAAATGCATGCTGGAAATCAATGTTGGTACAGCAATCAATTCAAATCTGAATTGAAACCACAGCACTTTTCATGCTGAATAGTGAATCTCCAGTAAGTGTCAGTTCTCCAATGATGGATGTTGCATACACAATTTCTGTTATTTGTATGTCTGTAAGGAACAATAGTTTCTGGGCAACTAAAAAATAAATGATCAAATGAGATTTAACAAAGAGGATTGCTACAAAGTAGTTGACAAACTATGATAAATTCAAAGTAATTTCTGCATTTTATAATCATCTGCACACTTAAAGCAATTTTAGAAAACAATAGTATACACTTTCAAAAGTAAAAGCCCTCTGGCATCTACCCCAAAACTGACATGTGAAGATTTCAATTTTCTTTCAAGCATACATGGTGGGACATGATTAGCTTCGAGGTCAAATACATAAGACAGTATAGTATTCTATAGGTCTGGGGCTCAAAGTACGGCACACAATTAGCTGTGGTACTCATTCCCCCAAGGCTCAGCAGCCAAGACTTGAAAGCACAAGAGTTGCCAACAGTTTTAGAACTGCTTGCAGTAAAAATAAACCAGCTAATGATACACGATAAACTCAAAATATGGATCCCTCACGTCTATTAACTAGATGTGCAGAGAACTGATTAAACATTTAATGCCTCATTATTCCCTTCTCTACAATCCTACAGCACTATCTTTCTGCCTCAGCTGGTTTTAAAACTGGTCTCCAGCTGATGGACAAGAGAATAAATGAAAATAATTTCTTGGCACTCAGTCGCAGGCAACACAAATCAGTGGTAAATACAGCTACAGAGAATAGCAATGCATGAACTCCCTCTCCCTCACTTGTTCAACAGTGAAAATCTAACCTAAAACTTGCATTTACATAACACCCCTAACACAGAGCAACACATTACAATGACAGTGCTGCACTGGTGGCGGGGAAAGAGGAGAGAAAGAGTAAACCAAGTGGATAATTCAGAGATAACAATCAGAAGAGTGAGGCTGGAGAGGGTCAGAGATAGGGAGGAGTAAGGCATAAAAGAATTTGTAAGAGAATGTCATGTCCACCTGCCGTTAAGAGTCAGTAAAACCTGGAGAAGTTTGTGCAGATAGTGATCCAGGCAGCAGAGTTTTGAACGAGCTGGAAATTGCGATACTATCAAGGAGCCAATTCAAAAAGTGGAGTCTAAAGGTGACAAAGGCTGGAATGCAGATTTTGGCAGTACTGGGGGTGAGATAGGAAAATTACTGGAAACATAAGGTGGATCAACATCCCTTCAAATGTAGTTAATTATATGGTTGTTTTAATGAATAGAATGGAAGATTAGATGGTCAACCAAACATTAAAAAATTTTTAAAAGAGAAATCAAGCCTCAAAGCAATTTTTTTTGTAAAAGTGTAGCGCATATTTGTAGGAAAACCTGGCAGCTAATTTCTGGCACAGCAATGTACCATAAAACATCCATAAAGTGACTGAACTTTTTTTTCTCTCTGGAGGATTGTTGTTCATGACATTGGGAGAAACATTTTGAATAGTACCATGGGATCTTTAACATTTACCTGAACAGGAAGATGGCATGTCTCATCCGAAGGACATGGCGATAATGTTATCAACTGAACCAAGCTAACGTCGCAGGTTAAATAAATTGGAATAAATTTGTTCTAACCTTAACTACTGGGAAATGCACTGCAGCTCAAAGCCATTGCATTTGTAAAGCAATGCACTGGCTCAAAGGTCATCTGGTTATGTTTCTTAATGCGACAGTGACAGCAAGGCTCCAGTCACCGATAGAACAAGGACTTCTCAAAACACAATGCCTTCAATTAATACCTTTTAAGAGTCAAAAATTAAAGGATTATGCTTAATTTTCTTCTGGTTTTCTCGCTTTGTCGTGGCTAACTAATCTTTGCTTAAAAGTAGTGCACCGATGTGAGAATAGGCTTATAAACTTTTCCCAGTTTGATGCAACACAATTAACATATAAGCTTATAAAATGTTGAATTACCATCTCTATTGATGTTTAATTTAGCTCTCACACAGTTGAGCTCAATCTCTCATACAAACCAGATGCCCCAATGAGATCATTAGCATTTACTATCATTAGCAAGACTGCCTGGTGAACCCAATGTGAAAAGATAGTGAAGTTATCTGACACATTAGAATAAAGAACAATCTGATTTAATATTCTTGATATTATATTTCACATTCCCCAACAAGGTTCATGCCACAATGTTTCATCGTGCAAAGCCAATTTAATTTAGCCATAACAAACATAACTAGGTCTGCAAAATCAATCATTCAAATAAATTCGCTCCTTGACCATTTGAATAATCTTACAAACCATGTAAATTAACTGCCAAATCTAACATACTAAAACAATCACTATATTTAGCAGCAATTACCTATGAAGTGTTTTAAGATTTTTTGAAATGGACACTATAGCACAAACACAATTTGCCAAAACGGCTTTAAAAAGTGAATTAAACAAATACTTGAAAAATATAAAAAGGTTAAGTGGAAAGGGCAGGGGAGGAAGACTAAATAAATTTACTTCTTTTAGAAAGGCCCAGTGGACACAAGGATCAAACGGCTGTGTGGGCTGCACAATTCTATGCTTTATTGCTTGTTATCAACTACTATAATAGACACTGCCAAGAGGAACAAAAGTGCAAATGGTTAAAAAACAATTGTGGAATCTTGTTACAACTCTGGCTTCACGCGCTCAGAGGCTAACCTATAAACAAAGCCAGAAAGCTGTCTGATTTCTAGTTCCCCAGGTCGTCAGTAACATATCCTGTGCACAATGCACACAAAGCCCCAATGATGTAATTTGTGGCATCAGTGGCATTCCCATTATGCTTAAGTCAGCCATCTTACAGTCCCAGAAACCGGGAGTGCCGAACTTCTGTTTAACACGATTCATTGGTCTCCAGCATTATAAGCGAGGCAGGACTATCCTGGGGCTGGTGGTGAGGAGTGTGTGTGTGTGGGGGGAGAAAAGAGATTTAATGTGCTTCTATAAGCACAGGAACAAGTTTCCGGGTTCACTTGACAGCAATGAAATGCCTGAGCTCAGTGAGATCAGAGTACAGTAAACCCTAGCATAATAAAAATGACTCAAACGTTAGGAAAAATATTCATCCCTACTTATGGAAATATACGACTATAACTAGGACATAGCTAATGCCTAATCTCTTTCCAGCCTATCTCTAATACTCTCCAAAACAGGGTAAGCAAGACACATCTTTCCAGAGAGAGAATCCACATTTCATTACAAACGTGGGAATATCCATATGAAACATGCATGGAACTCAGTCTTGTTTGGAGACTCTTAAACAAGACACAGAGCAGAACCCAAAAATCAAAATCTTCTACAGGTTACAACATTATATTTGTATAGCGCCTTTCATGTTAAAAGGATGTCCCAAGGCACTGGACAATCAATGTTTCGGACTCGAGCTGGGGGTCAGGATCAAGGAGGGTGGAGGGGGGGAAGCAGGGAGATCGAAGGCATGGTCGAAGGTGGGTCTTGAGATGGGTCTTGAAGGAAGCAAGGGAGAGGGTGAGATGGAGGGATTGTGGGATGAAGTTCCAGAGGGTGGGGGCAGAGTGGAAGAATGCCCACCCGCCAATGCTGGGGCAGGCAAGGCGGGGAATGTGAAGCAGGCCGGAGCACACTAAGCTGAGGGCAGGTTCATAGGGGGATAGAAGGTCGTAAAAGTAGGGGGGAGCAAGGCCATGAAGAGTTTTGAAGGCGAGGACCACGATCTTGAACTGTATCCTCTGTGTGATGGGAAGCCAGTGCAGTCAGGCAAGGATGGGGGTGATAGGGTTGTGGAGCCTGGTGTGGGAGAGGACACGGGCTGCAGAGTTCTGGATGATCTGCAGCTACGAAGGAAGGAGTTGGGGAGGTCGACAAGCAGGGAGTTTGCATAGTCAAACTTGGTTGTTATGAATGAGGATCTCTGTGGATTGCGGTGAGAGACAGCGGCGGAGGCTTCATCTGCACACAGTGGGAAATTGACCCCATGTCTTTGAGTGAATTATTGATGAAGTGCTTTGGACATGAACTTAGTCCTGTTTCTACTCACTGAGTCACCATGATTAATACAATTTCAAGGTGTGTGGGGACAGCAGGAGAATAGTAAAACACAGGGAAAAAATGTTTAGAGACTCATCATGAAATATTTCACAGACAATTACAGACTATGTGGTGACTATTTGTAGTAACAGGAGCAGTTTCAAGGTCGATTCCTCTCTCTGTCATACCTGCCAAAAATAGCAGGTTAGACAAGTTACTGGAGGATCAGCTTAATGCTTAAGACAGTGCCCCAGCTCTAGTTGGTGCCTTTAGAATAAGACAAAAATAAATGAAGTTGAGAAAGTGTTTCTTTTTAAAACACTGTATGTCAGTTTATAATAGCCCACATTAATCCATAACATTATTGAAATCTACACAGAACTTACGTTCGTCTTGGTTTCAGCCTCTGATCACTGTAAGGAATCAGAGCAACAAGATGGTTTTCCTGACCTAAGTAAAGAATTAAAAGCACATCATTAACAAGGAAAACAAAATTACATCATTAATTCTTTTAAAAGGGAAGGTAAGCATTTTCAGCAAAATACGCTTGCATTTCAATAACAAAGATAGCAACTATCCATTACACAATATCTTTAATTCAACCATAGTGACATGAATCCAGGGGAAGTCAATATATATTCCTTATTGTACATTTCAAAGGAGATAACTGTGCAGAAGATGTTATGCTGGGATTAAATTTTTTCTATCATTTGCTAAAACTGGAGTTGCCAATTTACCATAGTGTGAAAAATGCTCTTGCATAGACTTTTTGCAATATACTATATTCAGTAGAGGCGTATAATATTAAAATACAATATTTAAAAAAACACATGTCTACGTCAAAAATGCAAAAAACACTATCCAACACACCTCTGGGAATTCTTCCTGTTCCTTGACATGTGGGACAGGTAACACTGTCTCGACCAGTGAATTCCACATATGGAAACTGTGAAACGTCTCCATTGCGACTCGCATCTTCACTCTGGTTGTCTGAATTATCAAATTTATCCTTTTCCATTGTTGATGTGCAGCACTCACGACTTGAGCTCAGGGGTTTTTGCAATGTTAAACGAGATAGATTTTTCCCCATAGTTCAACAGTCACCTTAGAAGAAAAATTCCAAAGGTTACAAATTACAAAGTTACGCTTGTATTTAAAATCCTGAAGCAGCCTACATAAAAGTCTCTAAATCAAGCCTGAGACATCCAAAAGAGGAACCAACTAGTAAACTTAAAACAACAAGATTACATTCGATGGCAAGGTCAAAGAGGAGGGTTTTGAGGCGGGACTTGAAGGAGGCTAAGGAGGGGGTGAGGCGGAGTGAGTGGGCGATGGAGTTCCGGAGGTTGGGGGCAGAGTGGCTGAAGGCTCTCCCGCCAATGGTGGGGCGGGGGGGTCGGGTGACACGGAGCAGTCCGGAGCCGGCTGAGCGGAGGGAGCGGGCGGGTTGGTAGGGGGTTAGGAGGTCGCAGGGGTAGGGTGGATGAGGCCATCGAGGGCTTTGTAGGTGAGGACCAGGATCTTGAACTGGATCCTCTGAAGGACAGGGAGCCAATGGAGTCAGTAAAAATCCTGAATGTACACTAAATACATTCTATTATGTTGACCATAATCACATCAGCAATTTAGTTACTATACCAATCAGTCAGCATTCCACTAAAGTATCAAACTGGTGATCATCAATTTGATTCATAGAGCACCTCTCACTTGCACGTGGGTTTACCACGATTGTTTATTCACAAGTCTACTTTCCAATTAAACCAAACATTTCTTTGTTAACATGGAGCTGTGTTGTCATGCAATGATTCATGTTTTCAAACAAATAACAAAACAGGAATACATTAAGTGATTAACACAAACATAAGGTTGACAGTTGAGACCATATTCTCAGATGCTTTGAGAAAATCAAAGATTTAACTTCAACAGCATTATAAAAGCAGTACATTTAATATAACCCTTGCATTTGATGTAGTAGCACTTTATCAATCTTGAATATATCTCAAAGCTATTCATAGGATTTACTGCAAAGTGTAGTGAGTGACTATTCTGTAAGTAAACAAAGCAATTTTACACTCAGCAAAGACCCTTATTTCACAATACTGTGCCAGGACATCAAAAGAAACTAATTTCTTTTTGAATGCAACAAGAACTTTAGCATCCATCTTAACAGGCAGATTGTGCCTTGGTTTAACATCTATTTATAAGGAGAGCATCTCCAACAATGTAGTGCAAAGTGCAGAAGCATAAAAATTATCACATGCTTGGACGCAATTTCTAGATTTTACTTGGTAAACAAACACTGCATATATCAACTAAAAATGTAGTTTAGCTTTCCTTTTAATAATTCAAGATAAACAAACATTTGCAAGCAAGATTTTGCAATCATGTAAGTCAGTGTGAGATGAACATTTAGAAGTTAATTCTGAAAACAATCAACCAATCATCCTTGCATTTGATATATGTATATATGTGTGTGTATATATATATATATAGTGTCTATAACATCAAAAGACTTTACAGGGAATTAATGTCAAGTATACTGACTATTATGTAGGTAGACCACAGCCAAGTTGTCACAACAAGCCATATATACATACACACACACATATATATATATATATATATATATAAAAAACCTATCTGGAAGATTATTAGCCAGAGCATTGAAGGAATATCCCTCATCTTTCTAATCAAAAATACCAATACAGTCCTACCCACTTATCTTGAACCCGCTTAAATCAATATCCGTCTTATGTAGAGAAAAAGAAGTCCCAGTCGCTTCTCCTCATAGAAACACATTAAGCTGACCATGTATGTACATGTCGACAAACTTCAGCAGACTTACATCAACAGATTTTTCAAGTCCCAACAGTACAATACAAAATGGCATTTATAAATAGTCTTTCATGTCATGAGGACATTCCAAAGCGCTGAACAGTCAGGGATTAGGACCCAAGCAGAGGTGGTTGGAACAAGGAGGGTGGAGGGCAGAGAGGATAGCTGAAGGTACAGTCGAAGAGGAGGCATGCCTTGAAAGAGGCATGGGAGAGAGCAAGGTGAAGGAAATGTGGGATAGAGTGCCAGGGGGTGGGGACAGAAACGTTGAAGGCCTGACCCCTGATGGTGAGGCTTGCCGGGCGAGGGACATGGAGCAGGGTAGAGCCTGCTGAGCTGAGATGTTGATAAGGGTTACCAGGCCGGAGAGGTAGAGGGGGCAAGGTCGTGGAGAGCATTGTAGGTGATACAAATTTTCAAATCGATTCTCTGAGGGATGGGGAGCTAGTGAAGCCAGGTGACAGTGGGTGTGATGGGGGCACAGAGCCTGGTGCAGGCGAGGACATGAGCTGCAGAGTTCTGGATGATCTGCAGCTTATGGAGGGAAGAGTTGGGAAGGCCGGCAAGCGGGGCGTTGGCATAATTGAGCCTGGATGTAATGAAGGCATGTATGAGGGTTTCGGCGGCCTAAGGGGTAAAGTAATTGTGGAGTCACGCAATGTCGCAGAGGTGGGGGAAGCAGAGCGCGTCATGGTATGAACTTGGGTGAGAAAGGACAGTTGAGGGTCGAACAAGATGCCTAGGTTCCTGACTGGCTTGGTTAGGTGGAGTGTGCATCCGTGGATGCTGATGCTGCCAGTGCCTGAGGTGCAGAGCTTCGATCTTGCTGATGTTCAACTGTAGAAAGTTGACTCTCATCCAGGACTTGATGTCTGTCAGGCAGTCTGTCAGGACCTCAGTGGTCCAAGAGTTGAGGGTGGAGGCAAAAAGATATGGGTTGGATGTCATCCACATAACATGTGGAAGTTAACCCCATGTCTGCAGATGATGTCACCAAGAGGGAGCATGTACAGGTTGAAGAGGAGAGGATCGAGGACAGAGCCCTGAGGAACACCGCACAAGACAGTGCAGGGGGTAGAGGAGAAGCCGTTTGTGGAGACAAAGTGGAATCGGTATGAGATAGGGTCCGAACCATTCAAGGACAGAATCTTGAAGATTAAGGTGAGAGAGGCGGTGGAGGAGGATAGAGTGGTTCACAGTATCGAAGGCAGCAGAGAGGTCGAGGAGTCAGAGGCGGCCCTCATTTGACAGAACCTTGACCAGGGCATTGTGTCAAAATCGCTCATGTCAAGTCCTTTATGTAATGAAGGCATATATGAGGGTTTTGGCAACCTAAGGGGTGAAGTAGTTGGAGGAGTCAGGTAATATGTGACAGTGATTGCAGGCAAATGTGTGTCACGTGGGTGTGTGGCACATTAGCCAAATTACACCTATAAAAACAGGCGTGTTGTGAGTGCTGTTTGTATTGCTTGTACCACGATGGATACCACACCTTGAATGAAACATGTTTGAAAATGTTTGAGGATAACAACAACAAAATTATATTTAAATGGCGCCTTTCACGTTGGGAGGATGTCCCAAGGCACTGGATAGACAGAGTTTCGGACTCGAGCTGAGGGTGGGTGGGGGGGAAGCAGGGAGATTGTAAGTACGGTCGAAGAGGAGGTTCTTGAGGTGGGTCTTGAAGGTGGCGAGATGGAGGTACTGCAGGATGGAGTTCTAGAGGGTGGGTGCAGAGTAGCGATAGTGGGGCAAGCAAGGCGGGGGACGTGAAGCAGGCCAGAGCCTGCTGAGCGGGGAGATCGAACAGGATGGTAGGGGATTAGGAGATCGCAGAGGTAGGGGGGAGCAAGACCATGGAGGATTTTGAAGGTGAGGACCAGGATCTTGAACCGTATCCTCTTTGTGATGGGAAGCCAGTGGAGTTGGGCAAGGATGGGGGTGATAGGGTCATGGAGCCTAGTGTGGGAGAGGACATGGGCCGCAGAGTTCTGGATGATCTGCAACGTGTGGAGGGAGGAGTTGGGGAGGCCGACAAGCAGTGAGTTTGCAAAGTCGAGGATAAATAGCGCACAGTCATAGCAATTGAGAGTGGAAAGTCATGAAGTCTGCGAAACCTTCTCTGTGAAGCATAGCACCCTACATGGTTAGCTGAAATCTGTGAAACGCATAAAGGCCAATTACGAAGCAGGGATGAAGGAAAACTGCAAAATATGAAGATCTTGAGAATGTATTAGTTATGCGGTTTAATGAAAAACTCATCAAAAATCCCACCAACACAAGTGCTCAGGACACGCTCATTGAGAAGGCCAAGGCTTTTGCCGATCGGTTACACGTTGAAAATTTCTGCTGACAAACCAAGCTAGACAAACAAACCTTTCGCAACAGTCACTTAAGAGTACTGCAAACCCACAAAATATACACTCAATTCACTTTACAATACATTCTGTGAAGCACTTTGAGATGTCGAAGATGTGATAAGCTGCTATATCAAATGCAAGGATTATTATTAGACCCACAACATTTCCAGAGGAGAATGCTCATAAGCCAAGCTATATCTTTAATACCCGGGAACAGCCTTGATCTTATTAAATGGCAGGGCAGCCTTGAGTGGCCAAATGGCCTACTCCTGCTCCTATTTCTTATGTTCTTAGGGCAAGCTTCCCTCTGCTTGTTCAGCCTAGACCACCCTTCTTGTTAGGCCTTTGGCTTGCAGTTAGCAAGATCCAAGTGGAAAGGAGCCACTGCTAACAGTGACTTATCTACCCAACCGGGTTCTGCTGACAAACCAAGCTAGCTGGTCCTTTCGCAAGTCACTTAAGAGTCCTACAAACCCACCCAGCTCAGGAACAGACTGTAGAGATCACCCAGAGATTTGAGACATTTCATTGCCAACCTTAGCTCCAAGGAGATTATTTACCACAAATTAAGTCATTTGGCATCCAACAAGCACAAGTTTGAGCCCTTGCTCGGTGGATGGCAGGAACTTCCTGCAAGCTTCTTGGTGGCCAGTACTGTACAGCTCAGGAAATAAACAGAAGCTGCATTCACCTACAAAACACACTAACTGGTGTCACTACTCTACATTGCAAAATTTTGTGAAGCACTTTTGAGACATCCTCCCAACGTGAAAGGGTCAACTGTATATCAAACACGAAGATTATTAATCAATGCAATTCATTCCACATCCCCATAACAGTTAGATACACACAACATGAATCCCATGAACACCATCAATAATTGAAACCACAGAGGCACTCGATTCTCTTACACCCATCGCCACCACCCGGGGCTGGGAACCTGCCTGACCCTCTCCCCCTGGCCTGGAAACACGAAACACGACAGCTGCTCGAGTGCAATCGGGCGACAGGATCAACAACAAAGTGCATTTATAGAGCATATAGAGCCTTTATAGAGCCTTTCACTGCCCCGGGGACGTGCCAACTGCACCCGAGTGACCAGCCCGGTCTCACACACAGGCCACAGGGGCCCCGTCTGACACACAGGCCACAGGGGCCCCGTCTGACACACAGGCCACAGGGGCCCCGTCTCACACACACAGGGGCCCGGTCTCACACACAGGCCACAGGGGCCCGGTCTCACACACAGGCCACAGGGGCCCTGTCTCACACACAGGCCACAGGGGCCCCGGTCCTCACACACAGGGGCCCGTCACTCACACAGGGGCCCGTCACTCACACACAGGCCACAGGGGCCCCGTCTCACACACAGGGCTCACACACAGGGGCCCGTACTCACACACAGGCCACAGGGGCCCCGTCTCACACACAGGACACAGGGGCCCGTCACTCACACACAGGACACAGGGGCCCGTCCTCACACACAGGCCACAGGGGCCCCGTCTGACACACAGGCCACAGGGGCCCGGTCTGACACACAGGCCACAGGGGCCCGGTCTGACACACAGGCCACAGGGGCCCGGTCTGACACACAGGCCACAGGGGCCCGGTCTGACACACAGGCCACAGGGGCCCGTCTCACACACAGGCCACAGGGGCCCGTCTCACACACAGGCCACAGGGGCCCGTCTACACACAGGCCACAGGGCCCGTCACCACACACAGGGGCCCGGTCTCACACACACAGGGGCCCGGTCTCACACACAGGCCACAGGGGCCCTGTCACTCACACACAGGGGCCCCGTCACTCACACACAGGCCACAGGGGCCCCGTCACTCACACACAGGCCACAGGGGCCCCGTCACTCACACACAGGCCACAGGGGCCCCGTCACTCACACACAGGGGCCCCGTCACTCACACACAGGCCACAGGGGCCCCGTCACTCACACACAGGCCACAGGGGCCCCGTCACTCACACACAGGCCACAGGGGCCCCGTCACTCACACACAGGCCACAGGGCCCCGTCACTCACACACAGGGGCCCCGTCACTCACACACAGGCCACAGGGCCCCGTCACTCACACACAGGCCACAGGGCCCGGTCTCACACACAGGCCACGGGCTGACACCCCCCCCCCCCCAGGCCAGGCCGAGAAACCCAGAGCTTGTCCCAGCTCAGACCTGTGGTTGGGCCTCGGCCACTCGTTGCTTCCTCCCCGGTGTCAGTGACGGGAGTCCGGGCGGCGCGGCTCTCACCTGCCTCCTGGGCTCTCCCGGTCACAGGGCCACTGCTTCCTTCTTTCTTTCTCACTCACTCCCTCGCGCGCGACGCGACCGTTATTCTATTTAAGCGTCCGCACGGGGACTGACGATAAACACTGCACTCCGCGCACGCGCAGTCGTCTCCCTCCCTCCCTGACTGACCACGTCAGCAGGTGCCGCAGCGGGGCGTCACGGGATGACATCACAGCCCCGATGTAAACAACACCTCTCCCCCTTCACAACGTGGCGTGCTGCGTCACGCCGTCGGTCTCTCCGCTCCGCCCCGCCCCCTCACGTGCCTGAAGCTCACCCGCCCACAGAGCAGGAGGTGGGGAGGGAGGGAGGGGGGGGGGTGGGCTGACGCTCTCTGGTGTTGTGCAATCCCTCTCATGGTTTGGTAACCAGCCTCGGGTGGTGGGGTCCGATTCCCCGCGGGCAGGGAGGGAGGGAGGGCAAAATGTTTCCTTGCTCCGCAGTCAGTCAGTCAGTCAGTAGCCGGTTGTTAGTTGATTGACGGATATAATAATAATAATAATAATTATCCTCGCATTTGATGCAGCGCTTTTCACGTCGGGAGGACGTCCGAAAGCTCCTCCGGGGAAAATAATTCCTTCAAAAATGACTCCACGACTGTTTGTAGGGCACTGGCTGCTGTGCGCGGTTGGGCTGCCGCGTGTCGCCCGCAGCACATACAGTCAATCCACTTTTGACAGTATGTCCCGTGAAGCGCTTTGAGACGTCCTGAAGACGTGATAGGGCGCTACATCAAATGCAAGGATTATTATCGTTATCTATTGAAATAACGATTCGCCCCTACGCTGCAGTACACCTTTAGTTTTATATATCACTCTTATTTTTCAATTACAAATTTATGTTTACATAGCGCTCTTCACATGGGGTAACATCTCGGAGAACTTCGCAAAGGCACTTTTGGTTACAGAGCAGAACACCCCCCCCCCCCCCCCACCCCCGGGCCAGGCTGAGAACCCCCCACAAACTCAGAACTCGTCCTAAGGTGTGTGGACGAGGGTGTGGACGAGGCGCAGTCAGAAATATGAGATGTTTAGGTGGGATTCAAAGTGGGAGCGAGGGGGATAAAGGGAGGGATCTCCAGAGATTGGGGTGTAGTTTCAAGACAAAATATCTTAAACTGTCCCATCAAATCCAAACCCTGAGAAAAGCTAATGATCTGAAACCTGGGAGGTTCAGGCTCTTCTGGCTTCTCTGATTCTCTTTCCTCTTGTTTCAGCCTATAACTCCTCCACTAGATGATGCTCCCAGCTGTCTAGTTACTCAAGAGCTGGGATGCCTACATAACAATGCTGCCACTGCAGTCATGATCACGGACTGCAAGGGTCTCATCAGGCAGGGCACATTTCACATGCCCAGATTCATCATTGAAGATAATAATAAACCTCGCATTTGATATAGCGCCTTATCACATCTTCAAGATGTCTCAATGCGCTTCACAGAATATACTGCAAAGTGAATTGACTGTATATTTTGTGGGCAAAACGCAGCAGCCAATTGTACATTGATTGAGTGACCAAATTATTATTATTATTTTTGAACAACAACAACAAAATTACATTTGTAAGGGCCTTTCACGTCGGGAGAGCAAGGTGCTGGATAGCCAGTATTTCGGACACGAGCTGGGGATCAGGATGGTGGAGGGCAGGCGGAAAAGGAGGGTCACTGAAGCCATGGTCGAAGAGGAGGGTCTTGAAATGGGTTTTGAAGGAGGCAAGGGAGGGCCGAAGCAGAGGCACTGCGGGATGAAGTTCCAGAGCATGGGGGCAGAGTGGTTGAAGGTACGCCAGGCAATAGTTGGGCGGGCAAGGCGGTGGACATGAAGCAGGACAGAACCCACTGAGTGGAGAGTTGGACATGATGGTAGAGGTTTAAGAGATCATAGGGTAGGAAGGAACAAGGCCATGGAGAGCTCTGAAAGTGAGGACCAGGATCTTGAACTGTATCCCTTCTGAGTGATGGCCCAGGGAACCAGCGGAGCCGGGTGAGGATGGGTGTAATGGGGTCTGCAGAGTTCTGGATGATCTGCAGCCTGTGGAGGGAGGAATTGGGGAGGCCAACAAACGGAATTTGCGTAGTCGAGCCTCGATGTGATGAATGCGTGGATGTGGGTCTTCGTAGCCTGCAGTGAGAGATAGTGGTGTGCAGTGTTGTGGAGGTGGGGAAAAGCAGAGCGGGGTCATGGCATGGATGTGGGAAATGAAGAAGGATTGAGGGTCAAACAAGACGCCAAGGTTCCATGAGGTGTAGGGTGATGCTGTCCACGCCCAAGGTATGGAGGTGCTGATGAGGGCCTTGGTCACTTTTAAGTTAAAATATTTGGCCAAACTAAGTTACATTACATTGAAACCTGTTGATATTTCATGTTGTTAAACTACAGTATTTTCCAAAGTTGTTCCTCATATATTCCTTGAGGATTATGTGCATCGTTTTGTCATTATTTATGTTATATGTTAATGAGGCTTTGCAAAAACACAGCATCTGTTGTTTCTTTATTTCACATTAAAATCTGCCATTCATTGCTTGATAACATTTGCCTGATGCTTGAATCCTGGTTTCTATAATAACGGCACCAATTATAACTCAGCATGCCAGAGAGGTACCTCATAATAGTCTAATTTAAGTTCATTTGTTTCCCAGATAAGTAGTTTATAATAATTAGCCTTTCGTAACATTCAGAAATACTCTGTGGACATGCTGTTTGTGGATTGCTTACCAGATACATTAGCAGCTGGCATAATTTGTATTGAAAGATTATCAATTCCAAGTGTAAAAATAAAACATAAACGCTTGAATTGCACAGCAGGTCTATCAGCATCTGAAAGAGAAAGTGGATTAATGATCTGGCTGTGATCACTTTAATCACTGCTCAATGTTATTCAGAGTCTGTGAACTTTAGAGATGTTGGAGGAAAGCCCATTATTTACAATGGAGAGAGGACAACAATTTATACTTCTAGATTGCCCTCAGGTTGGAAGAACATTTTACTTTACAAAGACTAAGAGTGAGCCTGAGCTGGGATGAAGCTAAGGGTGGGGAGGGGAGGGGGGCAACACTCCTTCTGGAAGGAGGTAGCAAAATGGATGTAGGCACACCCACTAATTATGGGGGCAGAACTGGTGGGTGGCATGAAGCAGTCTGGAGTTGGCAGAATGAAGAGAGAACCCAGGAGAGTAAAGTCACAGGAGATCAGAATGATAGGGTGGTGGAAGGTCATGGAGGCCTTTGAAGTTGATCTATTGGAGGAAGGAGAGCCAGTGGAACCAGGTGAGTTGATAGCCTGGTGCAGGAGCGTATATGAGCTGCAAAGATCTTTATGGAGGGTGCAGCTGAGGAGGATGGCAATCTGTCACTGGAAAAATTGAGCGGGGACGTGACAAGGTGTGGATGAGGGTTTTGTCTATGTTGAGGTGAGTCAGTGGCAAAGGTTGTGATGTTACATTATTAATGAACTTCTCCAGATCAGAAAGGGAGCTGGAATCAGCAGTAATCTCAGGCACCAGTATAGCAGCGGAAGAGATCATGGATTGGATTAAAGTTGGATTTGCAGCAAGAAAGCAGACAAAATAATCCATCCAGGTTTCCATGGCAGCTTCCTTTATCTGAGCTAATCCCTAATACAATTCTTTTTCAGCCTCATTTACGTTTTCTATTTCTGTAACAATATATTCAAGTTCCTTCTCTTGTTATTTTTTCCTGATGCACTCCAACCTTTTTGCAAATACAGTATTGAGTGGGATGAGTGCAATATTTCTCAAAATACTCCTAGCATTTTATCTCTCGGGTAATTATTTATTGTAAAGTGGCTGTGTGTTTTGTAGGTGAACACAGTAGCCAATTTGCTCAGAGCAAGGTCCCACAAACAGCATGAAGTGAATCACCAATTGGCAACTGGACTCCAGGAGGGCATCCCTTCTCTTTTAGATGGCATCAGTAGTGCAACGACATCTTTAACATTCACCTGAACCGGCAGCGGGACCTTGGTTTAGCATTTCATCCGAAGGACCATTGCAACACACCATTGCATTAGAATATCAGCCTAGACTATGTGAGTTCAGGATTCTGATATCTGCATCTATAAGTCATAGCATTGAGCCAGATAAAAATGGTTGATCATCAAAGCTGCTGTGAATTTTCTCTTGACCTGCCTGGGTTTGCTAGGCATGTCTCATAGGCCAATTCGCCCACATACTTCCCTAAAAGCCTTCCCACCCCTTATTTTGTTATACCCTTTTCCCAAAGAACAATCTCACTACCTTCAATTATTCATCCTTATTACTTCTAAAAATATTTTATCACTTTTTTCACTAACCTTGGAACCCCATCAATTATTCAACACAGGTCTTTGTTAAGCTCTATCTATCATCCCAACGTTTTCCTTGCTATTCTTATACTGTATTCATATATGTGTTCTCTTCACTCGCATTCATCGCCAGCTCTGAATGTCAAAGGCAGATGGGGATAACCATTTTTGTCAGCAGTTTTGGTCACTTGCTAAAGCTTTCCTATTCAGACAGTCCCAGACTAGTGACTTAAAGCTGCCTTCTCCAGTGCAAATTGTTCCACCTCTTTCCTTGATGATTACTCAAACATGTGTGAAGAATTTATTTTTTTCCCTTTGTTAATATCTTATATATTGTATGTTTTTAAAAAATCCTAACCTTATTTTTCTCTCTGCATCTGTTAACATTGCATGCAGAATGCATACCATCAACCTTCACTCAGCACCTTGAAAAATATTTTAGTTTGTAGCAGCTATTGCTAAATCTGCTTCAGTCTTTTACACTTTCTCACCTTGCTCTTTCCTCCCTTTGTCGCTCACACACACACACACACAGATTCCGTGCAGATCCACACAATCCGCTATTGACCTTACATTCCTATCTCTATGACCCTATCACTCCACCCTCACCAGGTTCCACTGGCTCCCCATCCTTCAGTGGAGAAAGTTCAAAATCATTGTCCTAACCTACAAGGCCTCCATGGCCTTGCCCCTTCCTTCTTCTATGACCTGCTGATCCCTTATTAACCTGTCCGCTGCCTCCGCTCAGCAGGCTCTGGCCTGCTCCACATCCTCCACCGAGTCCGGCCCACCTTCAGCAGTCGGGCCTTCAGCCTCTCTGCCCCCACCC